CCCCTGAGGAGAACTTAGTTTCTGGAAAGCTAACATGTGATGGCCCTACCCATGCAATGACATATTAAGTCTGACCTGATGCAGAAGATGTAACTAGGCAAATAAAACTGGCTGTTTTTCTCCAAACCCTCAATTACTTTTTGTGCAAAAGGGATTTCTTATGTTTTAGCAAAAACTCAGATCCTTTTCAGTTTTGCAATCACTGTCAACTTTCTGCAGCAACTTCAATGGGAATTTTGCCTAAAAAGTCTGAGGAAACCTGAAGTCTTAATTCTGAATTGCTTGTTATTACAGTTCACTATAAATCTGTAATGTTCTTGGATTAATCAGTGGCGTCTTGGTCAGTCTTATTTTACTCCATAAATATTCAGCCTTAACTACAACTATTTTGGTTTGGTTTTGGGCTGGTTTTTTGTTTTGTTTTGTTTTCCAATGAAATCTAAATTTAGCATTTAAGTTTTTTAACTTATCCTTCCTGGTCACTTAACGGAGAGAAAATTTTGCACTCAACTTTTTCTTCAGCGGGCTTTTGATATCTGTAAGGCCATCCTCTTTTTGTGCCAGAAGCAGCAGAGTCAATCACTTTACATGTCTGTCTGGATCCTGCCTGCCACGTTATTAACAGACTCTGTATGACTGATTCTCTCAGCTACTCTCTTGGGTACATGTTTTCAGTTCGGCATTTTATTTCCAGTATGATCCTGCCAAACTCCTGCAATAGCTCTTTGGTGACTATAGATTGAGAAGTTTGTCTTTCCTTGATGTTCTGCATGACTGATTTGCCAGATCTGGTAGGCAAACTGGAGCTAGTACATCCTAGCACCTCTCCCTGTTCTGGAATACACAAGGGTGTTTTTTAATTATAACAATGTGGAGGTTAGCACAACAATTGTAATCCTAAAATCTGAAAAATTGTAATCTATCCCAGCTACATATTCCTCCTGTTGCTTTACACCGATTCTGACATTTCTTGGATGCTTTTTAAAGCCATTTTAGCTCCTTAATGTGACGTGACTGAATTTATTTATTTTTTTTTCCCTAAGACAGCAAGTTATCTTGGCTCTGGAAAGGTTTGAGAACCACCATAAAGGATGAGGTGGGATTCTGTGGCCCAGGAGCAGGCTGGAGAAAGAGAAAGGCCAAATTGTGGGGGGAAGCTGCTGGATTGGCTCAGCTGTCTGTGACACCACACTCTTGAGTTGTTTAAAAAACATCCTGCCTACATTGTTTCTATCACATGAAGCATACAACCGGAAGCCTTCCAGTTATCGGCTCACAGGAAAGAGCTTTTTATTGAGAAAAAATTCACTTTGAGGAATGCAAAATATAGCTTGGGACTGGTTTTACTTGCTAGGCTTGACCAATGTGCTGAGAGAGGACACAGTTTGATTTAGAGCAACTCAAAGGTTATACTGGCCACACTGTTGAGGGTCAAGCTAGTTGAATTAAGTCTTTCAGGTCACCTTTAAGACTTCAGTGTGGGATTACGGAAATGGTATGGATGAGCCTCTTTTTTCAGAGTGTCTTTTACCTTCTTACCCGTTTCAGTTTGGAGCATGATATGTGTGATACAGGAACATACTGAAGGCACTGTAGTGTTTATGTAACTCTTGGAGGGAAGTGGAAAGAATTATCTAGTATAGGTAGAAAGAGGAGCAGAATCCACCATGTATGAGTGGTTAAAGGAATAATATTATAGCTCCTTGGATAAAATGAGAGCCTTTTACACTTCCCATGAGTAAATACATTTGCCCTAGTAAGTAAGGACTTCAAAGTGTGTCAAATCACCATTTTAAGGAAAATAATGGAAATTTCAAATAGCAATGTCATGAGTGAATGGGCACCACCTTCCCGATGATAAATGTTTCCATAATTACTTTCAAACAGCTCCAGCGATCTCTGGTATGACTCTCACCTGAGTGTATTCCCATTTCCTCACCAGATGTGGGAAGAGTCTTCAGCCCATGACTTGTCTGCGTGTGCTTCTCTGCACCACACTTACCTCCTCTCTTTTGCTTTCTGCCAGTTACTGGCAGCCATGTGTCAGCTGATATGTGTGCCTGGGACTCCTGCTATCAGAAGTTATGTCCGTGGCAGGCAGTTCAAGCTTGCCAACCAGTAGCTAGATGGCTGTATTTACACCATTATCAAGGCAAAATGACTAGGGCCTGCTGAGAGCCAGCTCCTCCTGTACTGTATAACCTCTCACAGGTGCCAGTATACGCACATGGGGAGGAAGTCTACCTACCTCTGTCCTTTGCTGTCATCCAGCTCCAGCAAGTCCATACTTGCCTGCTCCCTCTCTGAAAGGCCAGGGTACATTTCACAACTTGTGTAACAGTTTTGGAAATCCCACAGGAGGAGACGCACAGATAGGGAAATGCCACAATAGTATCCTTATAGATTTCTCCTTGGGAAGCAGGGGGGAAATCCCCCAGTCCTTTACGGGTGAGGGCGTGACCCTTTCACCTCCAGATTTTCCAGCTTTGTGAGGGTGAGGGAGGAGGGTGGTCATCTTGTCACTCGGTCTTTTCTTTGCCTAGATGCAATGCAGCAGTTTTTTATGACTTCGGAAGCCAGTGGAGGTTTTTTAAAAAGGGGATTCCCATCCCACAGACTGTGTGAGTGCAGGTAAACTTCTTAAGCGTCATTGGTGTGGGATTTTCTTTTCCAGCATCGACAAGAGAGAGCAGTGGCCTTCATGGGACAAGGGGTTCTCCAAGTACACCAAATTCTGGCATCAAGGAAGCGTCTTGATGCAAGGCTGCTATGTGTTAGCTTGGAGATAAGAAGTTGTTTCACTTTTGGGAGCAAGTCTCCATGACCCCCAGGTCACAGCAGATCAGATTGATTGCACAGTCATCAGTAGCAATGTATGAGGCCACAGAGCAGAAATATGTCAACATGGAACAGTATAAAGGTTTGATGTATTTCTGTGGGGACTAGCAAACAAGAACTTCAAAGAAGGGGCCTTATCGTCAGTATGGGAGTCTTAATAGCTCTTTCTTAAGTCATATGGCAAAGCAGTTTTCCAAATTACCATAACTAAGCCTGAAGTTCCTTGTGCATTAGGGAAGGCATGTATGAACTGAAGAATGAAAGGACTACAAAGAGCCTTCTGTGAAATAGAAGAGCAGAACAAGAGCAGGAAAAACTCTCAATAACACTAACAAAAGCTTGTTCTAACAGTACTAGTCTTAGGCAAATCATCTTTCCAAGAGAATTAATAATCAGATGTGAAAATCCTGAGCCAGATATGACATGGCTTTCAGCCATGTCCTTTGGGATTTTCAAAATAAAACAAAGGAAAGAGCAAAATCCTGAAATGAAATCTCAGTGTTACTCATCACGTGCTAAAAAGCAGAACAGAACCTCTAAACATCTGAGCGCTGGCAAGCTGTTGAAGTATAAAAGCAACCAGATTCAAGTTTATCATTGATGAGGTGGCAAATAGAAGATTAATATCCTGATCTGCAGTCTGATTCTCCTAAATTAGGTCATACCCTTTCTGTTTGTGTGCAAACCCAAGAGTTGGTCGGGAAGCATTTCTGACTTTCTTGTACTTTAACACCTGAACTTCCTGTCAGCTACCAACATCCTGTTTCTGTTACTGACAGAGCCGTGCAGGAACTTTACAGTCAGATCTGATTAGCCCAGGCCAGGTGGCATTATTTGATGGGTCATTATACAGTGAGTAAGCCTTTCTACTGAAATCAAGGCTCTTGACAAGTCCTAGGAAGGAGAGTTTCTGTTGTGTAAGCCTGTTGCACGCACAATCTAGTCCTGCTTTTGCTGCCTCTATGATCAACAGCAAAACTCCCCCAACCTCAGTAGAGATTAATGGAAGTATTCGGTTCTTGAGACGTTTTCCTTTTTGTACTATTGCTCTTGGGAGATGGTTGCTTTAGGTATCTGGATGATCTTGCCCTTTCACAGCGTTCCACCATCAAACATGAGAGTCCTGAGGTAGCTCTATTTGCCAAGAAACATTTAATTTTTTCCCCCCAATAGTGTAGTAGCCAGAGCACTTCCTTCAAACACATTCAGTGTTGGGAGAGGATGTGGTTCAAGTCCTTGTTGCCTCCCTCAGAGGTGAAGGTCCTGCCCTACAGAGGCTTCTGTGGAGGCCGTACAAACAGCAGTGCATCTCTGTGGGTGAGCAGAGGAGGTCTGCAACCTGCTGCTTCGATTGCTCCCTGCACCTGAGAAATCCTGTCATTTAGTCATTGCTCCAAAATTATTTCTGGATTTTAATTATTCACTGTTAAATCCTTATTCCTTCTCCTGTGCATGCTTAAGCCTCCAGATGTTTAATTCCTTTTCCTGGACTTGCTTTTAGGTTATCAGCTCTGTTTCCTAAAGTGGCTGAAGCAGAGGTCACAGACTGGAGTATTTCCAAAGCAGAACCAGTATTTGCAAGTCTGAGCTCCAACTTGATCATATGAGGACATTTCTTTCATTTAAGCTTACAGTAAAATTAATAAAACTGGACCACATTTGGAATATTGACTAGCTCATCCTCCTCAAACCTCTTAATATTGAACCATACAGCGCAGAAAACCGGAATTGATTTGTAAAGCAGAAACTAAGTTCAGTGAAAAGCTGATTGTTCCCCTCCTCCATCATCAATAGTACTAGTATTGTTTGATGCTCTGTTCCCCTTCTCAGCCTTTAATTTCCTGCAGGATTGTATCTAACCAGTAAATTTAGAGGACTGTGACTGTAAAATATATTCTTTATCTGCAGTGGCTCTGGTGTAGTTGTTTTACAGTAAAATGTGCCATTTGTTGTATGCTTTGCATGGAACAGGCCACTGGCTGTTCTATTGTAAGCATTATGTCTCTTTAAAATTACATTAATAACAAACAGCATTACCACATGCAATTTATCTGTTTAGTAGTTACCAAGAGGAGGTAATATTTATGCCAGCTTTTTCATGGCAGGTCAATTATTTTGTTAGCACAGGCAACAGTGTATTTGTATTGTGCAACTCTTCCTAGGAACTGAACTGTGCTGGAGGACAGGAAATCATGGGAAGCAGGAGGACTTGAATTAAGAGGAAGGGATTTGTTTTTCTTCTGTTTGGATACCAGTGCCTGTTGAGCTACGGTGACATACTGTACAATCTGTGCTTCTCATTATGCAACTAAGCAAAAGGAAGACCTGCAAAAGATTAAAGTAAAAGTGAGTAGACTGAAGTTATTCTTATTTTGAGTTCAGTTTCTTTTCCCTTACTCTGTTTTGACAGGTGTCACATGGTGTCCACAGATCAAACCTCTTAGATTCTGCAACAATTTTGCAAGGTGCTATTTTACGGAACTCCCAGAGCTGCACTTTGGTCAAAGCTGTCCTGATCTAAATGTATAATGACCACCTAACTCAATAGAGAGTATTTAAAATTCAGCCACTTCTGTATGTTTTATAACTGGTGAGGCCAAGCTACTTTCATAATCTGCATGCTACATAAACACTTAATGACTCAGACTAGGGAAGTTTCATAAATACTTTGCTTGTGGATATTTAAAAAGACTCTGCCTTATGAAGGTGGTTAATAGGTGTCTCTTCCCCCTCCTTTTTTTCCCTCTACAATCAGCAGAATATCTTAATTGCAAAATCATGCACTTAATGTGGATTAAGTTTGAATAAAAGAGAATCCATTCATTTCAGCTCAAGGACTAGAGGCTGTTAAAAGTGTCCTGCAATAATTTCAAGCTTTAAAAAGCAGGGACCAACAGTAGCGTAATTTGTATGGCAATTAAGTGACTTTTCCAAATCCACAATAAGGGCTCAGGCCTTCGCTGCTGTCGGTGGAAAGTGAGCAGTTTTGGGACTGTATTGGGTTATGTAACATGTCTGAATGTTGGAGTAAAAAGCTCCAAACTAGCTGTGGAATATTTCTGCACTTGGGACTCCTTTTTTATAACAGATTACACCCAGCAAGAGAACTTGTGAGAACCACCTGTATGCCCTTGCAGCTGTTATTCCCTCTGTGCACTTTCAAAACCAAGGAAATATTTTCCCTCTCACTCTCAAATGCATTTCCTCCTTCCAAAATTTCACAGCCTTCTAGGATGCGTTCCAATCTCTTCTGACATGCTACAGCCTTCCCAGATTTCACACATAATTTTCCTTTGGAGAAAAAACCTTTTCTCTCAAGGTTACTTTTTAGCTCAGTTTGGTTTCTGTTGACTTCACTAGAGATTCAATAAGGCCCTGTAAAGAACCCTGAAGACTGCTGACCATTAGTTAAACCCAGGGATTTCTTTGAAGCTGGCCCTGCAGTGACTTTTTTTGTTCCACTAATGGCCAGCATTCAAGATAGTGGGATTACACATGGCTCCTAAATTCACTCAAAGCCTGTTTATACCAGGTTGGAATATGCCTGTGGATTGTGTTTAGTGTTAATTTGCAATTGCCTTTGGGCTTCTCGTGGGTTTGTATACAATATTAACAGATAATGGTTTGTATACGTGACTACAGCAGACTGTATGCAGCAGTCAGCTTTCCTTTCACTTGGATCAGAAGTTCAGGTCTGGCAGATGAACTACGGTTATTTAAACTTTAAGGGGTCAGAAAAGACTATTCTTCCCCAGTGGAAACATCACTACTAAAACCTGTCTACCTGGGCTTCCAGTCCCAAAACATGTTTTGGAGTGATGTGAAATGTGCTGCATTTTAAAATTACTGTCTCAAAATAGCATTGAAATTACTAAGCAAATGAGATATGTAGGAGAGCAAGGAGAAAATAATATGGATGGCTGAGAAAGGCACCCCTGGACTGTGTAGTCCTCACTTTATACCTAGTATACTGACATAGCTTTACCTGTACTCTTCACTTGCGTATTTTAATGCAGGTTTGGAATTCCTAATCTATTTCAGTATCTGTGATTGAAATAGTCATTGTATTCAACTTGGCAATGAGTTTATGTATGATTTTGCATACAGTGTAATACAGTGGATAAATTACACCTATGAGGAAAAGATTACTTGGGTTTTATTAGTTCCAAAGCATAATAAAAAGATACTTAGTACAGATTGTGCAGTTCACATGGACAACTTCTTCCTCATTAGGCATATTTGTTTTAAAAGTAGATATAAAATAGCAAATAATCAGCAAATATTTCTTGATACCTAGGCCTTTGTATTTTCATTCCCCAGAATTAAAGGCTCTTCCTAAATATATGTGTGTATTACAGTAAATCTTCCAGGAGTAGAGCATGACACCTGTTGCACGGGAAGGGAATGAAGGGGAGGTTTATAGACTCAGAGTCTGAATCAAGAAACTTTTATCCTACTGTCAGAAAGATGTGGAATTTGTTGTGGTTAGAGAGAACAGGTCATAATGAACTAAAAGAAGCCAAACCTCTCTTTACTGAGTACTGTTAGCAAAACCCTGGCAGTGTTGCCTAATGGTCAAAAAAAGATTATGTACATTCTGTTACGTGCCATGAAAAATCAATCTAAATTACCCATGCAGTTAAAAGCTAGGGGGAGATTGCAAGGCAAAGTATTATGCTATATAGAATAATCTTTTGGCAGAGTCCAGAATGAAACTAAGGGTTCCCGATGCATTAGAAAGGGTTCTGTTCATGAGTCTGAAATAGAACGCTTCACTCAAACTATGTACAAATACATATTTTGTACAAACTACATAATGCAAGATTCTAGAATCACAGGGCAAGAGATAGTTTCCTTGTCTGGAGTTCAGAGTTCTAAACCTCATTTCAGTAGCACTGCACTGAAGTGCTGAATTTCTGTTCTTTTCTGTTTTCTTTTCCTATCCCAAGTATTTCTGTGGCTAACGGGAGCATCCTTTGTGCCTTACAGCTTCAGTAGGCCCTTTTGTTTCACACTCCTCTCTCTCTGCTCCTAAAACAAAACCTGTCCTCCTTTATTTGCATTTAGACTCCAGAGAAAACTCCCTCTGACCAGTATGTGCATGGGTTATAGTCATAAAAGTCAAGGCGACTTTGCATATTAGAAGATATCAAGTGTTCCCGGTATGTTCTGCACTAAGCTTAAAGTCCTCAGTCCCTGGAAGAAAGTTGAAGCCATTTAAAGTCTCACCAGTGCTTGAGACCTTTACAACTGCACCATGCAAATTAGGTGAGATATTCTTATTTAATTCCCAAGGACAAATGACACTGCAGCCTTTTGAAAAATCCAACCCTTAACAACATCCCTAAATTACCAATCATGCCTGGACTCCCATTATGACAGTCAGTCTGGCCCTCAAGACAAACAGGCTGGTTGAGAAGAACATCTCCACCACCCCATGAGATGCTTACTGAGTCTGGCTTCTCAGGCTTTAGAGTAAGCCAGAGAAACCCAGGAATCACTGTCCCTGTGTGCAAACACTCATATAATTTCTGAGCTGCCTTCCAGACTCCTGCTGCTTCAGCTGTCCACTCCAGGAAAGAGTTAACTGCTTTTTACAGTGAGCTGATGAATTACAGCAACAGATGTACACATATGGATTGTTGGAAGTGTATACAAACCCAATGTACAACAGCATACTGAATCCTATAAAACATTTTGTGCATAAGACTTGAGATGCTTTAGACAGCTCTACCCTCTGGGCCAGTAATGAATCCTCTGTAAGGTCTAAGATTTCTCTTATGACAGCCCCCTTCTTTTTCTTTTTTTACTGAATAGGAACTTAGAAAGAGGAATCACTGGCATAACTGACAAATTCTAACAACAATATTGCTTGTAAAAGCCATTGTACACCTGGACCTTTGTAATTAATGTCCATAGAGAGGAAAACTATAGCAAAGTTACACTGAACAAGCAGGTTAATCATATGCTCTATTAACAACAGTAATGAGAAAATTTACAGCAGCCAGAAACTCTTATATGAAAATGGAAATTACATTACCAAATATGCTGGGCTGAGAATACTGGAACTGAAATTGTTGCCGTTAAGAAAGGGACCATTTACTTTGCATAAAATCATACAGATATGGTACATGCCAAATACATATAGGGGATAGCTGCATGATATGTTGCAGAACTGTGGACTACAAGAATGTAGCTTGTGCTCTGGACTGCTGTGCTGTTTCTCAGTCTGGACTGCAAAAAGCTTCTGTTGGCTGCCAGTTTTACAGACATTCTGACAAGTATTTTCTCCTCTCTTTACAAAACCATGATTTTCCTGCTTTTCCCTTCTTCCTGGCTTTCCAAAACAAAAAGACCTGTGTTTGCCTAAGATTGTAACTTAGACGTGGTACATTCAGTCACAGGACAGTGATGGATTTACCATTAATCACATAATTATTGAGTAACTGTGAGATTAGATATAGAAGATCCCTCTACTTGAAAAGGCAAACCCTATTTCATGGTTGAAAAAGGCTTGAGGTACTGAAATGTAATTTCAGCTTGTTTTAAACAGGAAGAATTGCTATGTACTACTTGTAAAGCTTTTATGGCTCGCTTCATTTTACTTTGTGTAACTCACTGTATTAGGAACCAGCAGAAACCTGGGGAAGCTTTCAATGTAGTTTGGACACCTAATTTACAGATCTAATTGCCCCATGGCAGTTAGGCATCTGCCTCTGAAAGCTTTAGATTTGCATCTAACTCAGCTGTTGAAAGTAGCCGATGTGAACAACATATCTGGTGAGAGCACTTGGGGAGGGATAGAAAACCTAAAATAACCTCTGAAGTGTTTGTCAAAACTATTTCTGAACAGATTGTGTATGTAGAATACATGCCAGAAGAGTCTAGCAAGACAGTTTACTGCTTTGTATCTGGGTACAGCTTAGAAAGTAGCTAGTAGCCTTACTCCTTGTGTAGCGTATACATCACTCAAATTCATCCTAGTGATAACATCAGAGATTATACTTATGCTACTTCAGTGTCAAGAGTCTATAGGATATGCCAACTCCATCTCCAGATCTCTCTAGATTGCCGGAACAATGATGACATACAGGCAGGTCAAGAAATAACCAAAAGAGACTATTTCACTGAGTGTTACAGAATCTGTAAGCCTTAGTCAAGTCGTAATGTAAAAAATATAGAGAATATTTTTATGCTCACTTTTGTTTTCAGTGCTCTATCTGGGAACCAGAAGTTGTTCAAATCCAGAGAGGATACCTAAAATCTCAATCTAAAAGTTCAGTCTGACTCAAATTCCAATAATAAAGAGTTTCTGTTGTAGGGAAGTTAATTTGGGGAAAGTTTGATTAGGGTGACCATGTAACAGTTATCATTTTCAGTTTGAAGGGCACGGAGAGACTTGCAAATACTCTGTAGAGCTGGAAGGAATGGGGGCAGGAAACTGCACAAGATCTTGTATACACACTATCAGTTTCAAAACTGAACAGCATAGGTATGGTTTCATGTCACCCTTAACCTGTAATTCAGCTGGGGCTCTATCAAGTAAGAAATCTTCGTGATGCAGCTGTAGTTCTTAGATTTAATTTTTAAAAGATACTTACTGTTGTTTAGTAATATTATCTATAGAAAAGTTGATCTTCCCTAGAAATTGATTTCACTGGAGCTTTCTGTCCAGATGTTTGTATGTTCTGATCTGATAAACTTGTGATTAAATATGGCTAAATTTTTATTTTTCCCACAACATGTAAATGTTGTGACTAGAGCAGGTTTACCAAGAGAAATAATGGGAGAAAGAAAAGTTGATCTTCCCTAGAAATTGATTTCACTGGAGCTTTCTGTCCAGATGTTTGTATGTTCTGATCTGATAAACTTGTGATTAAATATGGCTAAATTTTTATTTTTCCCACAACATGTAAATGTTGTGACTAGAGCAGGTTTACCAAGAGAAATAATGGGTGCACAATATTCTCCCTGTGTCTTGCAGTGCCCTTCAATTCAGGATCCGTGGGAACTCCTCTGCACTCCTGTGACTTCATGCAGCTGCTGGCTGTCCAGTGCTAATGCCACCTCTAGGGTGCCTATAAGGCCAGCATGTTAAAGCACTTTATTTTCAGTTTAAACCTCGTGAAAGATAGGAGGAATTGGTGAAATTATCGAAGATTTTCAGTCTAAGAGAAAGGTAACTGAATTCAGAGGCTTCCTTTACAATGACAATGTATTCATCTGCCAGTACATTGGTAACTTTTCGCTCTGTCCTGACAACCTGGGACCATTGTAACCAAATTAAAGAATGGCTTTATAGCTACCTTGAAAGTACAGACCTTGAGAGTTGATCCCACTTGTGCCTTCCTTCTAAAGCAATTTCTTTGTCCCCTGTTCTCTGCTTTTGCTGATACCACCAGTACGTGTCATCACAGTAAAGCCACCCTTTACTACTATCTCCTCTGAAAATTTGTGATTATTTTTCCTATTTGCTACTAAGTTCATTCTTCTTCTTCCTCGTCATTAACGTGTTCACCTGTGTACATATTATGTTTTGACTATTGAAAGCACTGATCTCTTTTCTGCTACTCAAAGTCCGCGCTAGGGTACCGGGAGGCCAGTTAAGGGTAGAATCAGGAAGGGCTAAATAGTTGTGTGCTTTTTTTAACAAAGCCAGGATGTCCATTTATACTATGAAAAGCAGCTAAAACAGAGCACAGAAATTTCAAGAGGATCTAATTGACAGCATCTAAGTAAAGGCCTAAACTACTTATCCTACTTAGCTGTCCTGCTGGATGCATCTTTCCAGGTCTTTTGTCTGTGGGGCCTGTGTGGCATCTTACTTTAGTACAGTAGTTACAGTTGCTTCACTATTTGCATTTCAATTGCCCAAGAGAGAGAGGAACTTGATTTATAACAACTTCATATTCTTTTCCTTTTCCCAGTGTGCTTGACTAAGACTGATGATCAAAACTTTCCTCTATTGTTACCAAGCTCAGTGAGTCCTGGGTGATAACCACCTCACCTTACATAAAAGAAGCCAGTCCTATTCTGTCAGGTAAGGAGAAAAAATGTCCCACCATCTACTTTAGGGCTTTATTCCCTCTCCACCTGCAGTCATGCTATGCTGCTATTGTAATCCCAAATGGAAAAAGAACTGTGACTGGCTGGACACGCTGATTGGAAAAGCTAAGTTGCATTGTAATGCAGCCAGTGTGTTAACTGATGGAAGAGCACATGGAAGAACACAGTAAATTCTTTAGTGCTTGACATCCTTCAGTTGGGGTTGGATGTCTGCCTAAAAACTCTGCAAAGTTTAATTACACATAACTGGCTTTGACAAGGTTCACTTACACAGCAGGCATGACTGTGTGCTTTGCAGGAATAACTTCTGAACTACAGAAAATTCCTGGTGAAATTTCTGAGGCCTTTTTTTAATCTAAAGAAATTCAAATTAGATTAATGTATTGGTGTCTTCTAGCCTTCATATCTTTATGACATGTAAAGATGCTGTAAAATATAATGTCCACTGATGATTACTAGATCTGATCCACAAGTTGCATTAAGCTAACAATGCCACTGTGTGTGTCCTGACCCCATGTAATACTGGGATTGCACAGGTGTCTGGGTCAGAGTGTCCTCTTGAGCATCCCAGCACCATTTTGGATCTGCCATGGAATAGCTCACTGTAAACTTGAGCATATTTTGGCTCACTGTATTCAGTATAGACAACTACAGGCTGTAGAATTCAGAATCAGGTGTAAACAAGGATACTGTTTAGATTAAACCAAATAACACTTTAACAAGAATAGAACTAAAAAGGAAATAATTACATAGGGAAGAAAGAGGCATTTAATTAATATTTCTATGAAAGAACCAATAAGTGTTTGGCAATAGATAAGTGCATAAGAAGCCTCTGATTAAAAAAAAAAAAAAACATGTAAAGGAAGTTCCCCTTTTACTAAAGTTCCCACTTTACTTCCACAGCCATGTCCATAAGGGTTATGCACACCTACAAGCACAGCACAGTGGCCACAGCAAAATAAAACCAAATCTTCACAGTTGCTTTATTTTGGTTAGCAGCAGAGAACAGAAAAAAACCCAAACTCTGTTAGTGAAGATGAACCTTTGTGCTCATAGGCAGAAGCAGGGCAGGTGGTAGTGATTCACAGAAGGAGACAGAACTCTTAAAGAGGGATGACTGGATTTGTCATTCTTCTACATGACTGGGAGCTTCAAGAAATGTACCTGTAACTGAGATTAAAATAACAACAGATAGGTGATCCTACTTTGCCTTGCTAATATTACCAAGAGGAGTAGAATGAAGGAAGCAGAGCAAATGCGGCTTGTGGCATGGCTAGCTATTTGCTTCACTCTGGCTGCTCTTCCATAGCTGCTCCTCTCATAGCTGAAGACTATAGGGCAATTGCTTTGCTAGGCACAAATAGCATCTCTATTATTCTTGTCTTCAGTAGCGACATCCAAAGCATGTTATTGAGGACCAGACAGAGGCGAAATACTTTTGGCATGTGGCTAACTTGCCTACCTGGCAGTCAGGAGTTTATATTCTCACTTTTTTGCCTTTGCTGCACTTGAGCAGTGGTTACATGTAGGAGTGGGTGGGAGAAGTTGTGCTTTTCTTTATGCTCTCTGTTGGCCTGTATTTCTGTTATTCCATGGTGACACAGAGCAAATTGGACCCAGGTGTAGCAAATTTGGCTGCTATGTCGAAAAACAGCTGTGAAGGAAAAAGTCAGATACAGTGACAGGATCTGAGTAGTATGCAGAAGTATGACAACAGACAAGTCAGTGGCAATGAAGTCTTAAACAATGCTTCTTTGCAATTGGGAGAAATATCCTGGGAGCCTACTGCACATGCAGTTGTTAGCTTACACTTTGACTGCATGGAAAGCAATGTGGAGTCTGAATTAAGACACATTTACACAGCCTTTGTCTCAAAGCTGGAAATAATGAATAAATGTATTGCTCACACAGCTGTCAGCACCATGAATGGAGGGGTGGAAAGAGAGCCAGGGGCTGAATGACAGCCCAGCGTAACAGAAAGGCTGACACTGGATCTGAAGGAGAAGGTTCAAGAGGTGGACACACTGTTCAATAGAGGATTAAGTACAAGCTGGGTGAAGTGTATTGATGGCTAGATACGGTCAGTGTGTTGCCCTAGGGGACACTTTTTTCTTGATTGTTGAAAATAGCATCAGTGCTGACTGCAGCTGAAGCCTCACTTCTTGTAAATGACTTCAATCATAACAGAATTAGTGTGACCACAGCTTCACAGTGGGTAAGGCTATGCTTGTCATTCAAGAGGCTCCTACTGAGCATTCAGTAACTCTTCATGGCTCAATTAACCAGGTTCTCTGAACACCTACAGTTCTATTAATTAGCTCTATTCGTTAGCAAGTGTTTTACAGCTGCAGCATGGTATGTAAATTAGCCTACTGTGAAAGCAAATGTATGTTTCAGTCTTCAAAAAGCAAAGAAGCCTCAGTCTTGCTGCCTGTACAGTCAGAGGAGCAGGGCTGGGCGGTGTCCCGGTGAGACCGTGGTGCTCTCTGTGGGACAGAGACCCCCAGGGTCCTCATGAGTGACACAGTCATGCTGCAAGTGGTATTACTTTAATACTGTCCCTTCCCCACTGACTATAAATATCACAATCTCTTCAGAAAATGTGGCTTTACTCTGATCCTGAGCATGGCTCAAATTCCTCTATAGTCTTTTACCAGATTGACTGTTTACTTGACTTTCCAGCCACAGCCAGGAGTGAAAAGGTCAGAGGAAAAGAGCTGGACAAGGGGGGAGGGACTGGAAACACCCCTCTTCATATACTATTTAGCAGGGAGGATTAAAATCACTGCACTGTTATGTTTCCATTGCTTTAGGTGCAGAATACAGCAAATTCCCTACTTGACGTTGCTGGTACTTCATTAAACAGAGGATGAGAGATTTGACAGCTGGAATTACTACAGGAATCTTCAGAAGACCCCTGCTATGCCCCTTAGATGTGTATGACAGAGTCATTAAATCATTGCACACAGGTAAGCAGGTATTTCAGAAAGCCCTTCATTAGCTCTTACACAAGCCAGCTTTGTCTCCTCTTTCCTTAGAGAACTTTTATACAAATCTGACCTTCTTGTCCTTACTTATAGTTTTGATTGTATTTTTTCTGAGTTATCCCACATTTGCATTTCATGTTAAAGACAAAATGAAGGGATTTAGGCACTTCATGTGGGAGGATATGGATCATTTCTCCTAAACTTACACTAAAGCAGAAAAAGGGAAAGAGAGTAAAAGTAGGTTTGTTCCTGCCAGGAAGAAAATGAAGTGTGCTCAATCCTTATGTTTTTCATTCCATGCATCTCAGTGGGAAGCCCCTTACCATATATCTATGTCTAGTTTTGTTTGTGTTTATTAGGGGTAGTGGAGAACCTTCTAAGCTACATTTTGCTTGCTCTACCACTAATGCTGCCACGTGGGCACTTATTTATGTAGCAAGGCAAGAGTCATTAGTTTGGGGCCTGAAGGGTTAAAAGAGACTACAGTGTGGGGCTGGGAAAAGAGGACAGGGAAAGGGATAACAATCTCTGCTCTGCTGACAGCAAACCAGTCTGGCAGCCTTTACCCTACAGACTTTTTCTTTTTTTCCTCTTTTTTTTTTTTTTTTTTCAATTTAACTTCTTCAAGCTGTTCACATTCAGGCAGTCTTGTTTTGCTCTGCTCTCGTACCTGCTGCATAGCACAGCATTCACTGCTTTCCCACTTTATATCCTTGCAGCTGGTGTGGGAAATTGCATCATTTCACAACTAATTCCAGCTTTAGAATTAACAAGAAATACTGTCTGCTAATCTCAGCCAGGGGTGGCTGACAAGGGAATGGGAGACTGCTAGGCAGGCCCAATCCAAAGAACATTTTTAGGGAAGCTGCGGAGTAAAGGGTCACATGATACTGCCTGTATGCTTTTTCTTTTTCCCTTTTTCACAATATCCAGTGCACAGTGCGTGATCCTTAGTCATGTTTAAGGCAGAAACCTATTTATTCCAAAGAAACATTAATGATGTAAGAGCTGAGTTTATAGAGTAAATGATATTAAACAAATTGTTCAGTAAGAAACACTCTATAACACATACTTGATGTTTCTTTAAAGTGGCTTTAGCTTTGAAAGGAATGTGAATTACAGTAGAGGGAGAGACCTTTTATCTTCCAAACTCTAAAGTTGACTTCATTTACTGCTTACAGTTACTGTAAGATCTGTGCTGATAGGGTACATTTCTGTGAAAGACTATGCCTTCTTTGAAGTGATTTGGTTCAGCTGGTTTTCTAAGTCAGCTTTTCATGGATTTCAGTAAATGCTTGGGGGAGGGGAGAATCACTTGATCATAATGCAGGTGACATTTTGCCAAATTAGGCATCTCAACTCATTCACAGTTACAGCTCTATGGGGCATTGATTTTGCATTTTATGAGCAGATTGAAATCCAACGGTACCTTCATCAGTTTCCTACAAACAGTATTACAAAACAGTCTGTTGTATTTTAACTTTCTCTGAATGTAGTTTAGCTACTAGAAATTATAGCTGCAAAACCATAAGTTTATGTTCTCTGGATCCTGTCATGGAGCTACGTCATAGATTCTTTAAAAACATCAAGTCTTTGCTGTGTAGATAACCAGGAATTTAATACAAGGAATACCTTTAAGTCTAAAGATGTCTGCAACTTTGCCATTTTCTGTATGCCAATTTAATGCGGGAACTCAGCTATCCTTCCCCCAATGCATCATAATGATACAGTGTTCATGGCCTTTTAAAGAGTGTGAATGGCATTTCTGGACAGTTTTATTTTTCCCCACCGACGTTCATGTGGTTAGGTTATGTCAGACAGTAACCTCTTCTTGCTTAGAGCCTTGTAGCTTTTAATAGAAATAAGGCAAGCCAGAGGTGGTGCAATTAACTCAGCCAAGGGTTCCATTCACTCTTTCAAAAACTCTGTACCGCTGTAGTCTTAATAGACTGTTCCTGCTCTCATGGATTTAGAGTAGAGCTAGATTCTGCAGCAGATTCATCCTGCATACATTTTCTACTTGCTTGCATCATTCTAGTTTAGTTTTTTTGGGGCAGGAATCCTCTCTGCTGGACTAGCACTAGAGCAGGACACGGAGACCTGTCTATTGTCTGTACTTACACACTCAATTAGCAGTTAAAGTTTAGCAGCAGGGTATGTACCAGAGCCTTTAAAACTAAAAACAGAGATGCTATTTTTTTTAAAAACTTTCACAATAAAGTTTATTATGTTAATATCATTAAAAATATTATAAAATAATAAAATATTCTGCTTGGCAGAAAAATTACACCAGGGTTTTAAAACCCCAGGTTTGTGCAAACAGTTTTTGTAAACATAAGAAGTCAAGTGTTCAAGTTCCATCCCAAAATACAGTAAATTGCTACAAAAATAAGTTTGCTCACTGTCAAACATGTTTAAAAACCCAGAAAGCTGGATTTCTTTACGCATCTCTCACGCGTCCCTATGCAGTTAATGCTGTACTTATATCTGAAATGGGAAGGATTTCAGATAGTCCTTTAAAACAGGATTGAGGGGGATCTGGTTTAAGTTCTCTCTTCCAAAAGTCTTCACAATGCTCTTCCGGCAGAGCTCCTGCAGGGGCTGCACGCGGACTTTGCGCAGGGGGGTAACCAGTACCTTCCTCGGGGACTTTAGGTAATGTTCCAGCAGCTTAAAAAGACAGTCAAAACTCTCCTTGCTGCCATCCAGGCTGAAACGCCCAGTCTGAAAGTTTATCCGGATGCTGGTGGGCCCAGTCGCAGTCTTAACACTGATGGCAAAGAAGCAATTCTTTTGTGTGCTGTCCCTGATGAGGAAGGTGCCCTCGGGCTCAGACTTCAGCTTCTCGTGGGCAGCACTGACAGTCAGAGGTCCCCAGTAGAAGCCACAGGCATCCAGCAGGCTGCTTGCTCGAGTGATGCTACTAAAATCCGCTTGCGAGCGAAAAGTTCGGAAGTGGGTGTTGCTGTGGGCCTGCACAGTGCTGGGCCGGCCGGGGCCGTGGTAGCCTCGGGCCTGTGAGCGATCCCGTGCCGGAGGGTCAAGTAGACATCTCGGGTCTGCTGCAACTGCATTATCTGCTGACACCTTGCTGTGCGCTACCATCCTACAGCCGAGACCAGCGGATGCGGTCTTCCATAGCGTCAGTGGCTACGGCAGGGCAGCTTTCCAGCAGCTATTCTGAAATGCCAAAGAGAGACACAATGTGAGATCCCCAGAGAAAAGCAGCTGCAATCTCTGAATGACCAAGTCTTCCATTCACATGCCTCCCACCCATTATAAAATAATAAAATATTCATTTGCCAATTTACACTGGGCAAACAACTGCTCACTTTCTGACAAGATTAGCAGTCTATCACTATGGCAAAGCCCAAAGCTCCAAAAATATTTAGCAAGGATCATTAACGGCTTCAGGGGATAATGCAGTTCCCCTGCTCTGAGCCCACAGAAGTATACTGAGACCTAAAGCGAGTCAAAATGACCCTCTCAATGAGAAGTTCTCTTGTGTGTGCTCCATCAAGTCCTCAAGTTTTAAAGAACAAAGCAACAAGGTTTTACAACAGAGTTACCAATTTCTCTGCACCTCCCTCTATCCCTTCCCCAATCCCAACTGAGATTTTGGAACTCAGACAACATCATTATTTGGGGCATTGTGTGAAGAAAGAAAGAAGGTGAAGGAAATGTAAACTCTGCAGCTGGGCATGTCTCCGGATAATTGGGGAAGAGGGTGAGGTGAATAGATGCCATTGTGCGACTGAAGTGTAACTTGGAAGGGCAGCCTGTAAGACTGCCAATTTACATAGTAATCCTAAAACTACTTTCCTCTCTCCTGTTAACCTGAGGCTCAGCCATAAAAGGCAGTTTCCCATTTTCCCAACTTTCCCTTGGGACAGCAATGCTACAACCTCACTAGCTTACACAAATCAACCTCTATGAACCCTTAAAGCATTACTCCTCAGTCTCTCTCTCTCTTTTTTGTATTACATGCACTTTAAGTGGCCCAATCTAAATTGCTTCCTATTGATATATCTTTCAGCATGAGGGACTAAATTCATCCCTCGTGTTACTTCAAAGGAATTAGCAGTGCTGCACCAGGAATGAGTTTGGCCTGAAATGTCTACCTCTGACAGTGTGGTTCGATATATCTCCGCCAGCTGCCTTGACCTTACTGGCAAGCATAGATTTTAGGATTTATCCCTGCAGTCAGATATAGATCTGCAGCAGCAGCTTGTTGAGAAACCTTGAAGTATTCTCAGAAATGAATCCCTCAGCTATCTTACAGTTCAGGGTAACATGCTAATGAGGATTTCAAAGAAAGTACACAGCTGGATTCCTGTCTCTGCTAATTTAGCAACTCGATGTTTGGTTTCATTTAGGTCACATTACCTCCTGAAACAGCAAAGAGGGTTGTAAAATCCTTATGCTGGCAAATAACTTAACACGCTGAAAGTAACACTGGGCTTTCTTTACACAGCAGAAGGAAAGGAAACTGATGTCAATTTTTCCAATTATTGGGCCAGGATTATCGCTCAGTATTTAAAGTTAACAAAAATTAAATTTTAGGGCACGCTGGTGAGAAATAACCACTAAGCTCGAGATCTAAAAATCGCAGGGCTCCCTAGCACAAGCCGTCCATCGCCCAGAGAGAGTTTTCGGTGCCTTTCCAAGAGGGCACAGAGCAAACCGGGGGCACGCCAGTCTTTACAGCCTGAACGTCAGAGCTGGCGGCCGGTACCGGGGAGCCGCGCCTCCGCCCGAGCAGAGCCTTCGGCGGGGCCCGTCCCGTCCGGGGGCTGCTCCGCTTCCACCGCCGGGCCGGGATGAGGGTCCTGCGAGGGGAGCGGGGCTGCGCAAAAACCACTGCGTGGTCGCTTTATTGTTTGTTCCCGCTACTCCATACCAGGCACGAGAGCTCCGTCTTGAGCGCGGACGTCGAGCCAAAAAGGGAGGAAAAAAACCCAAAAAAAACCCAAAAAACCAAACCAAACCAAAAAAGAGTTTAAAACCCCCGAAGCCACCACGCTCTTGCCCAACAGCCAAGGGCTCCCTTGTCGTGCCTCCGAAATCTGACCTCTTGAAGCTGCGGCGCGGGAGCCTTCCGAGGCGGCTCCCGGAGACCCCGCGGGACACAGACCCTCCCTTACCTTCGCCCGGGGCGCCGCGGACGGGGGCCGTCCCCGGAGCGCGCAACATGCGCGCGGGCTGCGGAGAGGAGAGGGGCCGGCTCCGGCGGCTAGTCCTGGCCCCGGCGGCTAGTGCTGGCCCCGGCGGCCGGCTGAGCATCCTCCGAGCGGGGGCCCTGCCTGGCGCCGCAGCGAGCCGGGGCTCCCGCGGAGCGGGCGGGCGAGCTGCACTTCCAGCGCTCTGGCCCCGCTCATCGCCTCTGCTTTCTATTTAACGCGGCGGCGTTGATTTTCTGCCTTAAGGCTCCTCCCCTGCCTTCTCCGAAAACACGTGGCCGCTCCTTCACTTTCACTTTCCGAATGAGTCACGGCCCGGGCCAGCCGAGGCAGCTCCGGGGGGGGCTCCGCCGGCACGGCCGGGCGCTGCCCCCGCTGCGGAACCCCGGCGGTGGGGCTGCCGGCCCCCGCGGGCTCCCCGGCCCGCTGCTGCTGGGCTCCCCGACTAAATCTGGTTTTCCTCTTTTTTCCCCCCTTTTTTTTTGGACAGCCCCAGCGAAGCGGTGGTGCAGAACGTGCCCCTGGGTGCAGGGTCGGGCTGGCCCCGCAGGAGCTGCTGGCACGGGGAGGCGAGGGGACACTAGAGGTAGGTGGCTACAGGGCTCTGGCCTGGCAGCTAGCTCAGAACATGGGGGGACAATGGCAAGAAAAGCAACCAACCAACATGAGAAGTTTTAACATGAACATAGCTGCTCTCCTCAAAGCTAACAGGTCAGCATGGACAGAACAGGTGAGAGGACTAAATGTATAACTTAAATGTCCAAGAAGGGGAGCAAATGTAGACCAATAATAATTTTAGAGTGTGAAAAGCATTCAAAGAAATCTATGATCCTTCTGCTGAGAGACTGTGCAGACACCTCACTGGGTTTTGAGTTCTCAAAACAGAATTTCCCTGGGGTTTTCTATAGGGTAATCAGATTTAAAAGTAACTGTTCAAATCCCCAGCTGTATTTATAACCTTGCCAGCAGCCAGTGCGGGAGGCTTGGGGTGCTGTTCTGCTCGCCCAGAGATTTGAAACCTCCAGTACCCACCCAGTGTCTTACGTGCTCCCTTAAGCAAGCCCCAGTCCAGTGTGCTATCTACCAAAGAGGATGTTTCTTAAAGTAGTAGCCAACACCTGTTTAAAAGGCCAGGGAGTCTTTCTTTTGATTATTCCTTGTCTTTTTGAAAGCCAAGTACCCTAGTATATACCTTGTGCAGTAATTCATCTGCATAGGCCTGTGCAAAAATGCAGAAGACTTGTGACTAATTCCACTGACTCTTGAATCTGGTATCAATAGACGACTGCATTGCTTCCAGAGCGTGCATGGTTGGGGGCGTGTGGTGGGACATGGGGGTTTTGCAGCCAGAGTGCTTCTTTACGTTAGGAGCAGAGAGAGGATGTTTTTCCCTTGCAGTCAACAATGATGTTTTGTGACAATGAAATGTTTCTGTCAGATGATTAAGAGGACAGGGGCTGGCAAGGACTTGTGAGTTGTCCTTTGGGATGAAGTTGAGGGAATGTATTTCCTGCTTTGAGACTGAATATTCTTTTCAAAGTCCAGCGTGGTAACAGACTGAATTAACCTGATGGCAGTACATGCCTTACGGTGATGTGGAGCCAGTGTACAATAGGTGAACTGGGAAATTTCTGATGATGCTTTAGCCACCAAAATTTACTGCTTATGATCTGTCATGCAAAAGTATAGTTGTCATGAATTTGGAGAAACAGAGCTCATCGTTCTTTTTAAGACTTGGCACAGAGATTCACTTTGTGCTCAGAATCTTCTTTCAAACAATTTTTGAGCAACTGAGCTTAAGCTAAGGTTTGGCATAAACAGCTGAGGGAGGGAAGCTCAGCTGCTTTTCTGTGTAAAACAAAAGCACGAAGGAATGGTGGAACTGAAACTTACTCTAGAATTTGAACATGCAATAGTGAGAAATGTTTTGCCACTATTTGCTCTGGTGCACTGCACTCCATGCAGCAAGTAGATTCAATGACTGTTTTGTTTAAGGCACAGCTCTTGTTCAGACAGGTCTTGCCTTTAACAGCTTAAAGTCAACTACTTAGAGGAGACAAAGTGCTCTCTGCCAAAGAAAAGAGATTTGAAGTGCCTAGCTGTGTCACAAAAAGGTAAATTGGAGCCAAAAGTACCAGCTCTGATCCACTAACTCCTCACCTAGCCCCCGAGGCGCCCGGCCCAGCTACCTTCCCACGGCTGCGCTCCTGGCTCCTGCCACCACTGTGGTTTTCAGGAGCGAAGCGCGGCACGGCTGTAATGCAGCACGGTGGTATGAGTGCTTCTCAGATGAGACGGAGGTTGGCTGCAGGTTGCTGTAGGTGTGCCAGGAAAGCTGTTCCACTCTCACGTAATTTTTAATTTTGTAAGATCACAGGGGAAAGAAAGATCCTCCAGGTGCACGTGCGGTCTGTCTGCCACGTACTGAGTAGCGCAGCTGACAAAGTGTCTGTCCAAAAAGTCTTCCTCATTGAGCAGGAATGTGGTAATAATATTTAGTTGCAAAGCTTCAGAGCTTGGCAGGACTCGAATGGGTAGGTGAACTCCCAGTCGCTGAGGAGAGCGATGGAGTGAGCCTGCCAGCTCGGACACCAACAGCCAAAGGCGTCAGGTTGCTGCTTGAGGAGTTTGATACCATCTCCGTGTGAATTGCGATGAGAGTGGTCTGGGGTGCTCCACAAAGTGCCTTAAAAAGGCTTGCCCAGGAGAAGTGGGCATCAATCGTAACGTGAAAAAGACTTGTACAGTGAGTGAAATCTTGTGATAGGAAGAGCTAGGGTTTTAGACTTGAGGGTCCCACAAGTTGAGCTTTCTTGGGATAATTTCAATTTTGCCCACTCAACGTTTCCTTTTGCAACCCCTCATTCCCATCCTTCTGTTTCCTTCCTTACCTCCTCTCCCTCCACTGAATATCCCCCTAATTGGGGCCTTGGAAAGAGCTCCATGCCAGTAGAGGGCAGTGCATCGGCTGGAGCCGGTGCAGAGCTGCTGGGCAGGGCACCCATGGAAAGCTCTCGAGAAACGACTGGTTGACAGCACTCCTGACAGTTTAGGTGATTCTGATCTGTGTTCTGTCTCTCAGCTTAATGACCACTTATTGCTTATTGCAAGGTGAATTGGACTTAGAATCTGATTGGTAAGTAAAGGCTTCCTTGTGAAATGCCTTTTTTTCTCCTCTTCACAAAGTACTGTTTCACATGGAGAAACAAATTGTGTTCCCCTTCTTCATCGCTGGTGGTCTCAGAAGAGAAAGGCAAAGTCTGGGGAGAAAGAAAATGATTGGGAGACATTATCCCATACCCCTTTCTCCCTTGTTTCTTGGGGCAGGAAAGTAAACCCTTTTGATCAGAAGGGTTCTATCAGGTTTTGTTAAAAATAAAACTCCTTACCCCTATTTTGTAAACACTGGCTTGGAAAATGACAGAAAATTCAGAGGAATTGCAAGGTGTTTGTGCAGAAGGAGCACAGTTTACTGGCTAGAAATGGGGCAAAGGGTAGAGGTAATCTGTTCAGAAAGCACAAGGAATATGGATGCCAGGAAAGATCTGCCAGGAGGCAGCAAGGGAAAAAACATAGTTCTGAAGATGGTTTTGAAAGTAGGAGAGCACTGTATCTGTTGGGGATACATGAGACATTTGCCTGTTTGTTAATTTGTTTTTCAAAAACCCACACTCTTAGCCCCGCTGGCAGCAGTATAATGCAGGCAGAGCTTCCTTTATTTATCCTCAAAGCTTTTCCTCACCCTTTGAAACAACCAAGAGGGAGGAGGTTGTGATACCATGTATGGTATTCCCCAGTATAAATTCCCTTATGGGGCACTCCACACCCTGCTGAATTAATCCCCCCTGCAGGGACAGTCCTTCAGAAACAAACAAACAAAAAATATCAAAAAAACTTGAAAGGCTTAGAAAATCAGCAGGCACTCCCCATTTCAGCTTTGTCCCTAATTTTTGAGAATAAAAGCAGACACTGATTCTGTTATAAAGCTGGGTTAATTAGCAGGCCAATGTATCTGGCAATTAGAATTTTGGTATAGCAAGTGGGTGATCAGCATGGGAATTAATATGGGAATGTTAAATCAGCTCAGTTGTGTTATTGTTATAAAGACACTTGTCAGTGAGTAATCAAAATATTTTTCCAAGTCTAATAAATTGCTATTTTCTTGTAAGAACAGTTCAAGTAAATAGGGTCACATATTTTACTATTAGTGTTTTCAGGTTAGAGCCTCTCTTGTGCTGATATTGTAAATGGTAGCTCTTACATGAAAGCGCTTATTATCTAAACTGACCAAATCAGCAACATCATCTTTAGAAAAGGGGAACCGAAGCACCGAGAGATTCAGTGATTTGCTCAAAGTCACAGAGCAAGATAATCTGCAGAAGGGCTAGGAGTGGAACATAATTCAGGTCTTCAGAGCCCCATACTAGAAACTTAACCACAATACCATCCTTCCTGTTTTAGTGGGTTTTGTTTTCTTCTCCGGAATCTGAATTTTCATTTAAACGAAACCCCTGAAATCGGAATTCTTTGATTTTGCAAGTAAATTAGACACCGCACTGTTTCTGAGTCTGCTTTCAGATGCAGTGAAACCAGCAGCACAGAGAGAAGTGTGAACCTCCGTCACCCACTGCAGCTCGGTATTAAGGTCAGAGTTTGATGTATTTAAATGGGACATGCCCAAAAGATGTAACTATTGTGACTAGATATTTCCTCACACATCTCCATTTCCATACTACCCATGCTACCATTTTTTAAGTTAAGAGATAGTAATTGTGGGCCTGATGAATACAGCTCATCCTGTTATCCTTTTGGTCATTTACTTCCGGCTAAAAATGGTTCTAAAAATGACTCACTTTACACTGATATTAATTATAATGCTAGATATCACTGAAGAACGATGTGTTGTCACAGCATACAAAAGGCATTATGCCAAGAACAAAATACACTTTGAGATGTCACCAATTCGTTATCAAGCCTTGATAAGCATCGTGCCTATACCTAGACGAGAGCTAGCCAGTCGGTACAGAATTAATAATTCATGCCTGAACTGAAGTATGTGGTGTTCTGCAGATAACCTACAAGTCAGATCTCATCCAGCTAGGATGGGTGATAGAAATTTGTGGGTTTGTCTTCTAAAAAGGATGGCTGTGAGTATTAGTTGCAAGAAAGCACCCACGTCTACTGGCTAGG